ATGAATCTATAAGTTGTTCAAATATTTACATATGCAGAAACACAACATGGAAATAAATAGCTTTATTTACATGTTTAGCAATTAAAGCTTCTCCTCATGAACAGAAACTTCTTTAGTGTTTTCTAACATTTAACCACTTTTTTCCTGATTCTAAAAATGATACATTTATTTTTAATATATAAAAAATGTAGGAAATCTTAAAAATCACCCATAATTTCACTATCAATATATACCCATTGATAGTATTTATTATTTAGTTCACGGTATAATCTTATAATTTTTATTTTTGTTAGGTAGGACAGTAATACAAGCAAGTGCTATTTCTCTATTTTACCAGGTATGAAAATGTTGATTTTAATACACCTTATAAAGTTTCTATTCCAATTTAGCTTTAAAGGTAAGCTTTTCAGTATTGGTTTTTTTGATCATTTACACTGAGATTCATTGATGTAATACCTAGCTGCATCAACGTAATTATTAAATTGTACTAATTGTACATCTCACAGCTATCACACCTTATTTAATTCAGTGTCTTATGCTGGATACCCATAAGCAGGGCAAATAGGCCACTCCTTTTTTGAGGGGCACCAATCAAATTCCTTTTTTTTAAATTAAAGTTTATTGGGGTGACAATCGTTAGTAAAGTTACATAGTTTTCAAGTGTGCAGTCCCTGTAATACATCATCTATATATCACATTGTGTGTTCACCACCCAGAGTCAGTTCTTCCATCACCATATATTTGATCCCATTTACCCTCAAACCAATCAAATTTCTTTTCTCAAGAAATAATTCTCTCTACTTCCTGTTGGAATATTTTTTGAAAATTGCAAGTGTTTGATTTTTAAGATTTCCTTATTAAAGTGTGAATATTATGGAATTTTAATAATCCTAACTAGTTTCAACCCATGTCTTTTTAGCATGCTAACCAGAGTTAGGTGGGTTAGTGTTCTGGAAAGGGAACAAGTACCTGGGAATGATGAGAATGAGAATGAATGGAAGTTTAATAGTCAAGTGACCTGGTTTCAAATCCTCCCTCGACTATGGCCTGATTGTATTCAACTTCTCTGCACCTCAGTTTCCATATCCAGAGAGTAGGAGACCCTCCCCCCTCCCCCGCCCTACAGTCCCTGAAGTAAGCTGCCGTGAAGTAAGTGGCCATGTTGTAGAAGCTCACATGGCAAGGAACTATGGACAGCCTCTAGGAGCTAAGAGTGGCTTCCAAAAAGAAACTAAAGCCTCAGTCCTGAAGCAGCAAGGAAATGAAATCTGCTAACAACTGAGCATAGAGCCCAGTTAAGCTGGGCTTGGACTCCTGATCCACAGAAACCTTGAAATTATAAATATGTATTGTTTTAAGCTGATAAGTTGTGGCAATTGTTATTCAGTGTAGAAAACTGCTATAGTTATGAAAGTCAATGAAAGACTGAGAAACTGTTCCAGATTAAAGGAGACTAAAGTGGTAGACAACGAAATGCATTGCATGATTCTGAACTGGATTGTTTGGACAATTGGGAAAACTTTAATGGAATCTGAGAATTAGACTGAATAGTATATCAAAGTTATTTTCCTGATTTTGATGGTTATTTTGCAGTTAAGTGGGAGGAAATGTGGTAGTAAGTAAACATTAGTCAAGAATGCAAAAAAAAATGTTAATGAAGGTGTGTTTTTCTTTGCTTTGCCTAAGAATATTGTCCATTTTTCTACTTGGTTAAAGATAGGAAGCATTGCTTCCTTCTACCTTCCTTCTAATAGTTAAGGAAGGGGATAAAATAGAGGGAATTAATATTTGGTGATCAATTACTGTGTGGCAGGACTGTAATATCCACCTCACATGAATTATCTAATATATTCCTTACAACATATGCTAAAGTAAATATCATTATCCCTACTTTATAGATCAGGTAGATTGAATTATCATTACCAATTCTTCACTGCCTCCTTTCAACACCTCCCACAGAGTAGGTAGAGTATATTTCCTCACCCCATTGATGTTGAGGTCAGTCATGCAACTTCCTTTGACCAAGGATATGTGGGCAGAAGTGATGTGAACCAAGGACTAAAAGTGCTTGTGTGAATTGGTTTCTTTCTTGTGCTTCTGCTAGTCACTATGAAAAGAGCCTGCCTGCATAGATACTATTTTGAGGGAGAAAGATAAAGTAGACTTGAACCTAATTCAAAGTCTGGAGTCAAGCCATGCCAAGCCAATCCTGGCTGAGCCCATCAGAATCAAATCTGCCCCAAAACTTGGTATACAAGAAATACATGCTTATTGTCATAAGCCATAGAAATTTGGGGGTTATTTGTTACATAACTTTATTGCAGGAATAGCTGACTGATACACTGGCTCAAATTTATACTCTCAATTAATGGGTTTGTCAAACCTATCTTCTTTATTACTATATACTGCTACAACACAAATAAGACTGTGAAATTGCCACTGTGCGCTTACATTGGCAGCGCTGTACAAACAGCTCAGTAAGCTTTCATAACCTTGGTATATCAGTGTCTCACAGCTGTGTTCATGTTGACATGTGGTGGTGTCTTGCTGAGTGGCATTCATTGTTGTTGTTGTGTGTTTTTGTGTGCTGTCGCGAGAATGTCTGAGCTTGAATTAGAGCAAAAACGAACATTAAATTTCTTGTTAAACCTGGCAAGAGTGGAAGTGAAATCAGAGACATGTTAGTCCAAGTTTATGGGGATAATGCTATGAAGAAAACGGCAGTGTACAAATGGATTAAGCGTTTTTCTGAGGGGAGAGAACATGTCACTGATGAAGAGAGGTCATGGCAGCCAGTAATAAGCAGAACTGATGAAAACATTGCAAAAATTCATCGAATTGTGCATCCAAATCATCGGCTGACTGTGAGAAGCACAGTAGACCAAGTAAACATCCATAAAGAAACAGTCAAGAAAACCTTAACTGAAAACCTTGGCATGAGAAAAGTGTGTGTGCAAAAATGGTCTCGAAAGAGCTCACCAATGAACAAAAGCAAAGGAGAGTCAAAGTTTGCCAAAACCTAAACCTTTTGGAGAGGCAAGATGATGTTTTGGGCCATGTTATAACTGGTGATGAAACATGGATGTACCAATACAACCCTGAAACAAAGTGTCAAAGTGCACAACGGAAGTCAGCCAATTCTCCACGACCAAAAAAGTTCCGTCAGTCCAAATCAAGTCAAACGATGTTGCTAAGCTTTATTGATATCAGAATGATTATTCATTATGAATTTGTGCCAACTGGACAGTTAGCCAAGTTTACTATTTGGAAGTGCTGAAAAGGCTGTGTGAAAAAGTTTAACGACCTGAACTTTTTGCCAACAATTCATGACTCTTGCTTGCATCACGACAATGCAACAGCTCACACAGCACTGTCTGTGAGGGAGTTTTTAGCCAGCAAACAAATAACTGTATTGGAACACCCTCCCTACTCACCTGATCTAGCTCCCAATGACTTCTTTCTTTACCTGAAGATAAAGGAAATATTGAAAGGAAGGCATTTTGATGACACTCAGGACGTCAAGGGTAATACAATGACAGCTCTGATGGTCATTCCAGAAAACGAATTCCAAAATTGCTTGGAAGGGTGGACTAGGCACTGGCATCGGTGCATAGCTTCCCAAGGGGAGTACTTTAAAGGTGATCATAGTGACATTCAGCAATGAGGTATGTAGCACTTTTCTAGGATGAGTTCAGGAACTCAATTGTCAGATCTCGTACTGCTGTGACTCCTTAAAGCACTAAGGAGGAATGACCTCTAGTGTTCAAATCCTTACTCAGTGACTCACTAGGTAACTCTGGACCTGCCACTAAGCCTCAGTTACCACATCTGGAAAGAGAAGATAATAGTTCTAACCTCATTAGTTTGTTGTGAAGAGAAAATGAAACTTTTGTACAGATTGTAAAAGACTTAAAAAAATTGGAGCTGGCATGCTGTATTCATCAAAAGCATCAGGAGTAAAACTATCCAAGTCCATTTTACTAGTTGTGTAACGTTGGGCAAATTACTTTTGGTGCCTCAGTTCCCTCACCCCTTAATGGGGATAATAACAATACCTACTTCAGAGGGACCTTGGAAAGATAATGTGAGATAATGTATGCAAAGAATTTAAATGGCACATGATACATAGCAGTTAATAAATGCTAAATATTATTATTATTACTAAATATTCTTATAATTTAACTAGTTATTGAGTGCCTAAAATAAGCAAGCCTGAAACAGGCAACAAGACTCTATTATTGTATTATATTGTAGGCAGCTAATGTTACCTATCCTGATGAATATAACCAAGTACTCAAATATGTACAGGACCAAGCAGTAGGTACAGAATGTTGGTGGAGGGCTGCAGTTGGGCTGGGCAGGCATTGAGGGATGGTTTCTATTTTGATATATGAAGGTGGGAGTTAAGTGTTTTACTCAGTGAGAGGAGCATACGCACAGACATGGGAGTGTCGAGGGATTTAAGGCTAGACAAGTGTATTGGGTCCAGACTGTAGAGTTCAGAATGGCAGGCCCTGGTGTCTGGAATCTCTTTGGAGGGCAGGAGAGAGCCACTGAAGGACTTTGAGCAAAGGGATGTGAACCTAGCACCATATTAGGAAAATTAATCTGATGACGGTTTATGTAAAAGAACAGCAAATGGAAAGCTTAGATGCCAGTTGGAAGAAATGTGCAGTATTCTAATGGTGAAGTGATAAGGGACGGAACCAAAATAGGGCAAGTGGGACCAGAACAGTCAAGACAAATGTGAGAGGCATTTTTGTTGAACAAGTCAAGAGGGTGATGTGTCCTTTACTCACAGAAAAGAACTTAACCTGTCTGGTTCACCTCAACACATAGCAACCAACATACAAAACAAAACAAAACAAAAAAACAGATTTGTACACAGCTAGACAGTACATTCATTTTTTTTTAATTTTTAATTAAATACATTGGGGTGACAATGGTTAGTAAAATTACATAGGTTTCAGGTGTACAATTCTATAATACATCATCTATATATCACATTGTGTGTTCACCACCCAGAGTCAGTTCTCCTTCCATCACCATATATCTGACAGTACATTCATTCTTATGGTACACTTTTGTGGGGTTTGCAACACTCTAGCAACTAGAAAGGTTTATAACCTTTCTAATATAAGGCTTATACTTTATCATCACTCTGAAGGGCTTTGAATGGTGACCCTGGAAACATAAAAAAAAAAAAAGAGGGAGTTAATAATGGGTAGTAGCAAGCGTGCACATTCCTTGAGAAGTAACTATTACTTCTGAACTATCCATGGAGTTGGGTTGACCCTGTAATCATTATTGCAGAGTAGCCTGTGAGAACTATTATTATCGCTATTTTACAGATGAGAATATAAAGGTAGAAAATGAAAATTTCATAAGCTCTCTTTACAAATCCTGCCCATCCTTTCAGTCTGAGCTCGAATGTCATCTCTTCCCTGAAGACGTTGCAGAGCCTGGCAGCAGTCTGAGCTCCCTGAACATTTGTTCTTAGTCTTTCATGATATTCAGAGCTTGTATTAGAGTCATCTCTGTACATGTCTTATCTCATTGATTCAATCATGTTTCTTTAAGATAAAGGCTATTGTTGCATTCATTTCTGTATTCCCCTTAGAGCATTGTCCTAGTGCCTGGCACATAGTAGGGGGCTCAATGAATGTTTGTCGAATTGATTGAAGTGTGGACACAAATGAGCCCTAGGCCGCTATGGTATGTTTATTTGAATGTGTAATTGGTAGTTTCCCCATGGATCCCTTGAAGAGTGTGTTCAGACCTTAGCAGCACTTTGAAGCTCTGGTGCATTTAATTAAATGCGTAATCTTTTTAGAGTTCTTGTACCAAGAAGATAGATTGCATACTTTAATGTACATTCCAAAAAAGGCCTTATGCCTCAATTTAAGCGTTCAGTTAACAAAGACACCAAAGATGACAAATAACTGGGGTTCAAAGTATTAAGCAATTGCAGTCTCACTAAAATAAGGGATTTTTAAGGTCTCCTATTCCTCCCCCCTCCCCCCACTTTTGATCAGAAAGAATCCCTTCCTAGATAGTTCCACATGGTTCAATTTTTCTTCTTATTGTTTTTACTTCATGTAAGAATTTTTTTAAAAATTCTGGAGCCTGGTTCTCTGAACAGTAGTTTATCAACAGGACTTGTTTTAAGCCACAGAGAGTTTACATAGGATAGAGCCAGGACGGTGAGGGTGTCTTGCAGACAAATGTATGGCTGCCGCCTCGTGTGCTGATGCTACTGTGGGGTCCCTGGGCTCCCCGGTCCTCTGTAAAGCCGTAACTATCACATAGCCTTCCAGCTGCCAGAATTTTCTAGGCTTTGGGATACAGTAATTTGGTTTCCTCAGAGGCATTGTGGTATTAGGGCACTGTGTCTCAAGCAAGGCTGAGCCTAAGACTGACTTAGGGTGCTTGTAAAAAATTGTATTCACAGGCTCCATCCTAGAAACTACTTCTAGAAGCATTGGGGGAGGGGTCAGGAATATCTGCTTTTTACCACAGGTTAAATCTTATTATCAGGCGAAGTGAGACACTTTTATATAGTGGCTTGAAATAACTGGCTCTAGTAGCTTTCACTTACTGGCTATGTGAATCTTAAACAAGTTACTTGCCCTCTCTAGTTTCCTCAACTATAGAATGGGGGTAATTTTAGTATCTACCTTTTATTAAGATTGCAGAGAGAATTAAAGTAAAGATAATGTATGCTAAATGCTTAGCATAGTGTCTGGGACATAGTAAGTACTCAATAAATGTCCAGATATAATGAACTCTCCCCTCTTATTATATTGGCAGTCTTGCCTTCTAGAAGATGTTGTACATCTGTAGGTCACTTTATCCAGGAAGTCTTCCTGTCTTATTAGAAGAGATTCTCTGAGGTCCCGTCCTTACTAAACCTGTAGTGTGTCTCCTAGGAGATCATAGTATTTTAGATTTGGAAAGGACCTACAGGTGTATAATCCAACACCCTAATGTCATTTGCTTATTTTTGGTCTATTCCTTATTCATTTTCAGTTAACTCCCTATTCATGTGTAGTTGTAGATGACCCTTCTAGGGCCACTCCCTCCTACCTTCCACTTAGACTGGGCAACCTAGATGACCTCCCATACGGGTCCAGGATCCTTCTCATTCCCAGAAAATGCCCGTGCTCTGCTTATTCCTTTGATGGTTATAGAGTTTGCCCTCCATCAAACATCTTTTCATGGCAGCTCTGCTTCCCCCAGCCCAAAGAAACTCTATGAACGCTAGTCCTGAATTTGAAAAACAACCATGTTTTCCTCGCTACTAGCAATCTAACAGCCAAACTTATTAAATTTTTGTTACATGTTTGTCTAGTTTTCTGTCTGCTTATCTGAATCAGTGTTGTCTCTATTAGGTGTATATTCCTGAAAGTCAGGGATTTTAATTTTTTTCTATTGTCTTATGGAAAAATTCTGCACAATTACATAATGAATTCACAAAAAATATGATGCTGATGGTGGTAAATACAATGGAGTATATAAACTGACTTAGACTATTATAGTCTTTGTTTCAGTAAGATTCTTTAATCCTATGGTATATTTGCCTTATTCCTTTTTAATTTAAAAACAATTTAATGCACAATCTTTGTCTCTGCATTTCTCCAATTTTAAGAATCACTTCCTTGTGTGTGCTAATTTGTCAAGCAAAACTTTAACAAACATCTCCTGGAAACTTAGAATACAGAATTTTGAGGCACTCATTTGCTTTTCTTGGCATTTACTTCCCTAAAGAAGTCAAAAAATTATTGAAGCATGACTTTTTCATTCCAGAAACTGCATTGGCTATCCTTAATCAAGCTGTGCTTTTCTCAGTGTTCCCCATTTAATCTCCTAAAATACTTCCTAAGACTTTGCCCCCCACAATGGAATCAAAACTAAATGGTCTGTAATTTCCTCAAGTGTTCCCAGATCCTGTTGTAAATAATGACATTGTGCTGGCCACTTTCCAGTCTGAATGAAGTGACCTTGTAAAAATGTCTGCTCACTCTTCTATAATGTCTTTTTCTACTTTCTGTAGGGCTCTTAGATACAGCTTGGCAAACAATACCTATTCCAAGAAACACCATTCTTCACCTCAGTCATGTTATTTCCTTCATATAGGCAGTACTGTATCCAGCGCTAAAGGACTTATGTTTAAAAGTTAATTAATATTTTAAAATAAGGAATTATAGGTGCACTGTGGCAGAAGGCCAGACTGGATGACCTATAAATATCTGAATTGACAGAAAGAAAACCTATTGTGGTTTTGTAAACTCTTTAAGAAAATGCTGAACTTCCATTCAGTCATTAGGTAGCTTTTATTGTTATCATGTTCAATACCTTTTCTATAGAAAAGAAATCATTTCCTACTTTATAATACAAAAACCTTTAAAAATTAGTTATTCCAAGCTGGCAGTTAGAAAAGGAATATTTCACCGTATTGGTAAAGATAGATGTTCTTTCTGAGCAATTATGTTGCATTCAAATGAGAAATATGTGATGTTCTGGTTGTCCCAATGATTGCCCTTCCACACACACCCCCCCCATCAAAAAAAAAAAAGAAAGAAAAGAAAGAAAAAGAATCAGGACATCTGGCAAAGCCTAGGGTAAAGCAGCTAAACTCACTGAAGGGACAGAGTACTTCTCACATGAAGACAGGCTAAAAATACAAAAACCTATTAGTGTGAAATAACAAAAGCTGAAAGGGGGGAAGTAACTGGGACCTCTGAATCCCCAGCTATGTGGGACCACCAGCTAGACAAGCTAATTAAAATTAGCGACCCCATTTTTGTTTATGGCCTACATGTGCATATGAGTTTTATAAATTAGATACAAATACTACAGCTAAGAGTAGCTAAATCAATGGAGATATTGGTACTTTTCCACCCAATGGCAGTGATTTTATTATTTTCTTTAAGAAAAACTAGAGGGTAATAAATCTATGAGAGCATTTTGAAGTTGAGGAATCAAATCAAGATTTAAAGACAGTTTAAGGAGTTGTAAAGCTGACAAATAAGCCGGCAGATTTTTTTTTTCCTCACAAAATAGGAGCAAAATTACAATTATTTAAAATTTGGTAGTTTGGTTCTGGTTTTGAGTAAAACGATTGCTTTTGCTTGTGCTTTCATGACTATAAACATGACATGGCTCGGTGGGGGTCAGTGTGTGTTCACCTACCTTCCCTCAGCGTTGTTCAGCTCTATCGGACACCTACAGCACAGCATGCTCCTTTGTAGGAGATTGGCAGCAAGGTCCTTTTTAATTAACTAATTAGATGACTCATCATCCACCTAAATTAGCATTATTAGGTCTTTTATAATGATTGTTGAAGCATTGTAAATTAATTTTCTTATTGGCTATGTCCATACTGCCATCACAGTATGAAGAGATAATGCCACGCACAGTAGGAAATCTCTATCGCCTGAAAATGAACATGGTCATCCTTGGATCACCAATTAGGAAACCTATTGTGTAGCAAAAACATCATTTCTATGCTGTAATATGATCAAATAACCATTAATTATCTTCACTAGTGAGAATTACCTTCTTTGTTGGAGAAGTATTGCATTCCATATTACAGTTCAAAAATGTCAGGAGAAACCAGCAACAAAAACATCAATTTCTAAAAATGATACATGTAACCCAAATCATATTAACCCAACATGCAACATGTCAGGTTAAATTAGCATAAGCTTTGTTACTGAGCCTGAATAACATAGCTTACCTCTTAGCCTTTAGATGTATTGATTAAATAGGTCACCATCACCTGCCTATGAACACAAATATAATCAAACTGCACTGTTCTCTGCAGAACTGAATGGCAAAAAACCCTGATAAGTATCCAATCCAGATTCACGGTAACTGAAAGCCTGTTTCCTTGCCTAATACAGAGATGACAGAATGAAGATAAGCAAGTCCCTGGAGGCTGTCCTTACAGCTGGTGTGTGTTTGTGTGTGTGTGTGTGTGTGTGTGTGTGTGTGTGTGTGTAAATATGCGTGCTTCCTAAGACCAGGGTCCAAGAACTTTCATGAGATTCTCAAGGGGATCTGTGACAGACCCTCACCACCTCAAAAGGCTCATGTACAATCAGCCACTGTGGAGCAGACCACTCGTGTGTGATTGCACTGCTCAGCAGCCATGAACCAACCTGAGTGCCAACATGAGGCCTCAGGATTGCTCAGCATGGCCATGACAGCCTCACTAGGCAGGGGTATGGTGTGATGGTCAAGAGGGGGAGCCCTGGATTAGGTTTTTGGGGTTTTGTCCCAACCCTTACCCTTTACAAGATGTGTAAAGGCAAGGTACCCTAACTTTTCTGTGGCTCAGTTTGGCTCATCTTTCAAATATTATTCACCTCAAAAGTTTGTTGTGGCTTTATATAGTATCAGGGAGTTTCTGGTGATCCAAACATCAGGAACCATAAAACGAAAGACTAATAAATTTGACTACCCAGAAATTAAAGTCACTACAGGACTATAATTATCATAGACAAAAATAGCATAAAATGATATATTTACTTTAAAATAACCCAGTAAGGCAAAGGGAGAGAAGTAATGCAGGGAGGGGTGGTAATAAATGAATTAAATTTGTCTACATATTGATAATGCTGGGTATTTATGTAGTCCATAAAAGCTTGTTAACCTATTATTCTGTTTTTGTATATGTTTGAAATTTTCTGAGATAAAATATTTGTAAAAAATAAAAACATAAAAATGCCATAGATAATATCAGAAGAATGTGACAATTTAAAGGAAAAAAAATACTAGTACTACATATAATACTAAGGGGTTAATTCCCCTAATATATAAAGAGGCCATACAAATCAATAAAAAAAAGACCAGGAAAGCAACATTTTAAAAAAAGAAAATGAACACAGTACAGGAAAAAGGAAAAATACATCAAATAATGTTTAGTTTATTTTATAAAATATCTTATATATTATTTATTTTAAATTATATTAAACTTTAAATTTTAATTAATTTCAATAAACATTTATTATACATTTTATTTATATTTTTATGAAATAAAATTGTATTAAGTTTAAGATATATCAAGTAATGCTCATTTTATTCATCATAGGAAAAATACAAATTAAAACAACAGTGAAAATTCATTTTTGACCTATCAAATAAGCAAAGATCAGAAGGTTTGATAATACATTGTGGGAAAGAGTACAAAGAACTATAACTTTTTTGGAGAGCAATTTTACAATACCTGAGAAAAGTAAAAATTCACATTCCTTTTTTCAATTCCACTTCTAGGAATTAGCTTACAGATATACTCACAAATGAATTGAAAGCGAAACATATAAGGATATTCAATATAGTTGATTGTAATAGCAAAAGACTTGCATCACTCTCAATGTCTATTAGGAAGGAACTGGTTAAATGGGTTATAACACATCCATATAATGGAATACTAAGAGGCAGGTAAAAAGAATGAGGCAGCTCCAAAATATGAGTCAATGTCTAACACATTGAAAATGAAAAACACAAGGAGTACATTAGTACATGACATTTGTGTAAAAAAAAGTACATATATGCTTCCAAATCCATATAATAGAAATCTTTAGAAGGATATACAAAAAAAAAAACCCAGTAGCAATGGTTGCCTCAGGAGAGTAGGAAAGAGGTAGAGGAAGATATATATAGGAGCGAGTCTTACTCTTCACTGTATGCCCTTCTGTTTCTTTAAACATTTTTTTATCATGTGCATATATTAACCATTTAAATGTATTTTTTACATCAAAGTGTTTAGAATTACGTTGGAATGTACTAAATGCTCAATAAATGTTATGTACTCTTGTATTTTACTTCACTGTTACTCTATTTCAGGCCTTATCTTCAGACCACTGCAATACAAAGTGAACAAAACCAGTCCCCAAAGATGCCTTATGCTTTGCTATATTCATGTGCTACTTATATTTATGTGCTTACCTCCTCTTAGAAGGTCCCTTTTCCATCTTTACCTGTTGAAATTCTACTTATCCTTCAATTTCCCGTTCCTCCTGAATTATACACTGGCTGTGTAATCTTGAGAAATTGATGTAACTGCTTAAGCCTCATTTTTCACATCTATTAAATGGGAGGTAATAATAGAAATTATAAGGAATAAATGTGGTAAGGCAAGTAATTCTGCTCATGTATTTGTCCAACATATAGTTCTCGATCACCTATTTTGTACAGGCACTATAATATGCACTAGGGCTCAAACCATGAAAAAAACTGACAATATCTCTGCCCTCCCGAAGCTCCCAGCCTAGAAAGGAAATTTCCATACTGTTGGTAGATGCTATGGCAAGTGTGAGCACAGAGTATGGAAGTACAGAGAAGGGGTACCTACCCAAAACAGGCAAACCCTCAGGAGAGAAATAGTTGACTTGGGAAGGAAAGTTGGACACAAAATCCGATTTTAACTTTGAGTGACACAAAAGTTATAGGCAGAGAGCAGCAGAGAATTTACACATTAGTTTTGATGCCTGTGGTTCCTGTGACCATCTTGGGTCATGGGTCCCTGTGCTTCTGATAAAGGCAATCCACAGAAGGCAGCCAGTGTTCCTCCTGCCCTCAGCCCTGAAAGCTCTCAAGGAAGTAGTCTTCCTGCTCCCCCAAGCCTATCAGTCTCCGTGAAACCAAGCCCTCCAGACTAGAACATAGAAAAACAAAACTCTTTACTGAAGGCAATTTTCTAAATGGTGTTGCAGGGAGAAATAACAGTTCAATTTAGATGTTTCCTTGTACCAACCAAGGGACAGGACCTTCCAGAATTAGGAACACCCAAGGATAGTGCCTCCAATTGCCCCCTTCTGCTAGAGGTGCTCTCCCCACCTGAGTTATCTCTCCTCCCTCTGGTCACCCCACCCAGCCCCCATCTCAAACCTCTCGTCAAGTCTCCCAGGTAAGTGACCCCACAGCTCACTTTGGGTCCACTCCTCCCTCACCTTTCAGGAGGAATCTTCTTCCTCTGGCTCCTTACGGCACTTGAAAACTCAAGCAAAGCCTCAGGTGAAGTTCTCCACTCAGTCCACAGTCTCCAGAGGAATATTTTTGTTCCCTGAAGAAAATCTAATCAGAGTATAGCTTCCCCACTGATAAGACATGTGTCACCAGTGAAGTAAGTGCGGCTTGTAATAAGAGTTATTTACTTTATTAGTCTAATTCTCCATAAAGGAAAGAATACTTCCGCTATTTGCCTGACTTTGGCTTTGATTTTTAGGGACCACCACTACCATCAACCCCTGCTATCATTATGCTGAGAAACATTTTCTTCTTACAACTGAGGCCTGACAGCTTTACAAAAGCAACCACTTGAGCTAGTTGGAAGAATGGATGCTAGTTCCAATAAGATCCTTTTGACTCTACATATCCTTTGGATGGAGGAAGAGAGAAAGTTTTGCCAGTTCACACGGCCACAGTTGAATAATTTCTCTTTCGAGAATTAAATTTGGTTTGCCTTTTTCGGGGGGAAAGACGCACATACACACACACACACACACACACACACACACACACACACACACACACACACCAAAACAAAAACAAAACAAAGCAAAAAAAAAAATACCCACCTCTGAGCCAAAAATAGAACTCTATAATTCTCCAAAAAATCTTAGAGTAAGCCCTGGTGTCTTCACATGGCCTTGCTGCAACCATGCCCAGCTGAAACGGTAGGCAAGAGAGGTTTTCATTAGTTTTGATCAAGTAGCCATTAATTGTAGATATGATCAGATTCAACAGCACACAGAATCCCATAGTGTCCCAGTGGCACCTGCCAGACACACCCCTAGGCTCCAGTCTGCCTTTTACAGAAGGGTGAAGCCCAAAGCCTCAAGCCCAAAGCCTCTCTGAGCATGTGCAAGGCAACAGATTTATGCTGCCCTCTACTGGTGAACAGCTCTACTGCAAATTTTTTACAAGGAAACAGGACCTGGGCAGGTTGACTACTATCCCATTCCACACCCCATTTCCTAGCATCCTCAAAGAGAAATAACCAACTAAACTTAGAAGTTGAAGGTCGTCAGACTGAGGTAAGAGTGGAGTGGATGAGAATATAGTCCAGGAGAAGCAGAAAGACCACAAACCAGGGGTATGTCACCATTAATATCCAGTATAGCCCACAGAGTTATCTGTGTGTTTGCCTTGTGGAGGGAAATTTTCATTCGGACTCTCTTGTGACATTTGAGTTGCTTAGTACTGAATGCATTCTGTGATGTATTCAGAAAATGCATTTCACTAATGCTTCCCTAATTCATGGGGGCTACTGTTTTACCAGTCACCCTGATCCTTAATCAGTGGAGTTGTATAGCATGTAGATAGTCTGTAAAAGTGCTTAATAAAAATCATTTAATTCTAAATTACATGAGTGCACTTAACCCTAAAGATATTAAAACTGATTGTTTGATGTATTGCCATGAGTAAGTAGAAATTCAAAAATAAAAGCTTCCTGCACTTAAATCAAAGAGCACCGAGCTCATAGCCACTCGGAACAAGCACATGCATCAGTGTCATGAAGCTGGGCTATGATAAACTAACCCATTTTAGGCTTTTAAACTGTAAATATGAAGTACTTGAATTTGATCAGTGATGAGATACATAAGTGAGTTTTTCCAAGCAAAGTACTGTGTGACCTGATAGCCTGTTAGAAGCCTGTGGAGATCACCTGTCACTTATTTGCAGACTTGGTGGGAGCAGCGGTGGGGCCAGCCACTGGTGTTTGGCAGGGCTAAGATGAGGTGATAGTCTAGACTCTAGCCTAGAGGCAAGTCTGGAGAGAGCAAATAGAAGAGAGCGGGTATTTTCATTAACTGCATTTTTACCCTTAAGTTTTCATTGTTAACTGCATTTATGCTTGTTTAACTTGCTTACTACCTACAGCCCTCAGCACAATACCATGCCTGTGAGGAAACTTAAATCAATCTTGATTATGGAATCAGAACCAATTTTGGAGGGATATGCCTGTCAAATTTGCATTCATCTCTTGACTAATCCTCTAGGAATTTGAACACTTTTGACTCTAATGGTCTGGTTTATGTGATGCTATCAATATAGCGAACAAACATGATGTTCTGTGGGACAACCTTATTTTCTAGGTACCTCCAGACTATGTTATGATAGCAGGTGGGAGAGGTAATGTAGCTCTGGCCCAAGGATGTAAATGTGCACCATTATCTGCTCCACCTGAGTGCACACTGTTTGTGTGTGTGTGTGTGTGTGTGTGTGTGTGTGTGTGTGTGTGTGCGCGCGCGCGCGCGTGCGCGCACACCACTTTGATCCCCCTACCCAGATCACTGACTTCATGCCGTGAACCCAAGACTGTGTTTACCTCCCTAACAAGGACACTACATCTGGCACAGCAGCTGCAGTTGGCACACTATTTGGTTGAGCTTGCCATAGTCCACTGTCATCTTCTAGAATTCACCCACTTTTTGTATTGAGCCAGATTTGGGTATTAAATGGGGATATGATGGGAACCACTACCCTGCATCCTTTATGTCTTAAAGTGTGACACTAATCCCTGACATTCTCCCCAGGATGTGCTAATGCTATTGGTTAATAGTGAGGAAGCAGGTTCACAGGGGCTTCCACTTGGCCTTCCCAACTCTGGTAGATGTTACTACACAGAATTAACCAAAGTGAAGGTTCTTCGCACTCCCAAATATGGTAATTACAAATAAACATTGAAAGACTCGCAAAATGACCACCAGCTTGATCTCAGTTCCAGTGGTCCTAGAATGAGCTAGTCGGGACCCGTTTTTTGTCTGGTCTTAACACATTCCCCAATAATAAGAAGGCTGTTCAAACACTTCAGGTCCTCAGTTATCAGTGTCAACTCAAACCCTGTGTCCAACTGTTGTCGAAATCTCTGGGCACTCTCCATTATCCACTCTACAATTACCTGAGTAAATGCCCATCGGTGCCCCTGGGGAAGGACTAAGGAAATCATTACTATACAGAAGGCGTCAAAAAACGTATGCACATTTTAAGAAAGGAAAATTGTATTAAAATTATAATACTCAATATATACCAATAACAAAAGATTAATGAATACAAGTCATGTTTGACTTCTGCAATTACAAGAGGTGCTCAAACTGGTTACCATCAGCGTCCAGACACTTCTGATTATGGTGAACTACTGCTTGAGCAACGTTGACCAAAGTGTCCACTTGTATACATTTTTTTTTGGCATCTCTGGTTTATACCAGCCATGATGCCACATGTTCATAGCTTCTCATTCAGTGAATGGATTCAGGGTCTGAGAACTGACTCAGATCCAAAAACTAGGCAGAAGATCAAGGATTTTTGTTAATTTAATTTTTTATTGGGGTGGCTACTCTTAGCTTCTGGATCATTCATCCTTGATTTCTCTTAAGTGTATAAATCAAGCAATACCCTTGTCAGCTGCCCATCTATCCTGCCCCTTGGGAACACTATGTGCTGTTAACCATCTCCATAGCTCTCTGAATGTCAGACCATGCTGGCTGCCACTCCAACATGACTGCTCATTACAAGAGCTGTGTTCATCTTGCTTTGACAGTTAAGTGCTACCATGTAGCCTCTATATTTTTAGGATATTATCAGCCCCATTCTTTTATTACCAGTTTTGTAATGAAGTTCTCACTACGAGCCATGGCATACAGAGGACAGACATCACTGAACTTAATGCTGGTGGTCTCCTCGCTAGCACATTCCTTATCACATTGGTAAACAGAGTGTACTCCAGGCCCTGTCTATCTGTGCTTATTTCCAGGCTTACGTAGTATATCTGTCCTGACATGTGCATTCTTTGTGTCTTTTGAGTCCATCTGTCAGACTTCTTACTTAATGTGGGCTATTGCCTTTTCCAAGCTTCCTATAGCATATTAGTACTGTCTCCTGGGGTCCTTGCCTGTGTTCCAGGCGAGTGTTCTCATACTGATTTATCTCCTTTATCCAACTTTACATCTCACCCCCTTTTATTCAGAATCTTTAGGGTTAAATCCCATAATACTGTCCTGGCTTCTTCAATGCATTTTGGCTAGGTCCCAAAGATTATTTAGCTTATAATCACTTTCTTCCCTTACATGTCCAGCACTTCCCTAACTGGATTATATTGTGGTTGGACTATTGGTCTGGTGGCCAGGAAGGAAGATGGTTGTAGACCCTGAGCTGGACTTGTGTGATCTAGCAAGCAGTATGCTGTATCATCTTCAGGTGAGGCATGGGAGCACTAGCCTTTAGCAAGGAGGAGTGGGTAATCTGCAGGTCTAGAGGGTTCAGACTCATCTATGTTCTTAAAGTTCTTGAGTGCAGTGACCTAGGTATCCCTATTTCAAGTCCTAGAATCCCACTCCTTCTCAATTGGGCCCTGACCTTGGTATAGGAGGTGTGCTGGGGATAAGAAGTCAACCTTCTTCTTCTGCCCTTAAAATGAAGTCCTGGTCTGATCCTCAGCATTTTCTGTCCTCCAGCTGTAGGAAATAAGAAACCGTGTACAGCCAAGGAAGACGCTTGACTTTAACACATTTTCTTAATTATCACTCTGCCTTCATTGTCTTTCAATCTCAAATGTATTGGTAATACCCATAGTCAACCAATTCCGTAGTCCTTATAAGGAGTACTTTTCCTACTCCTCTCAAACACTTGAGATTTTGTACCAATTTGTACATCCCCTTCTACCGACATCTTATCTATTTCACTACCTGTAAAAGCTCTAGCAATTAAGCATGCCAGGGCCTATCAGTACTTCACTTACTACCAGTTATGGGGTTCTTATTATCAGTTGGGCAGTCTCAATACCTATCTTGCATTCAATTTCCTAGGGCCATTTCTGGTGCCAACTGTCTTAGGTCAAGTTCCTGAGACATAAACTGTGAGACAGAGATTTGCTTGCAGGATGTTTATTGAAACAACACCTGTAAGAAAGTGATGGAAGGAAGTTGGACAGAGGGGTAAATAGAACTGCAACGTAGTTGCAATAGAGACCTTAGCCAATTTCATAAGAGGTGCCGGTGCTAGGTCGGCCCTTCCGAGTAATCCCCAGTTAGCCCCTGAGGCAAAGGGGCCAGGATTTTGTTCCAGTGCTCTGGATGTGGACTGGCCCTGTGGAGGGGATGTAACCTCGGGCAAGACATCCTCCTTTGACCAAGTCAGGATTCTTCCACAATGGCACTATTGACATTTTGGACTGGATAATTCTTTATTGGGGGAGAGAGCTGTCCTGCCCATTATGTTTAGCAGCATCCCTGGCCTCTCCCTACTAAATTCTAGTAACTCTCTCCTCTCTGCCCCATCTTCAATCAAAATGCCTCCTGATATTGCCACATGTCTCCTGGGGGCATAATTACTCCTAGCTGAGAGCCACTGAGCTGAAGGCATGTCACACAATAAGTGCCACTGGGAACCATTAGCAGTCAACACCCTTGGAAGCTGTGGGAACAGCTTTGAAGGAGGAATCTGGGCAGTGTACCACAGCATCTCCCACATGAGCTATGCTAAGTCAATTAATAAATAAGTGTTGGAGCAAAATACAGATATAGAAAATAATGTGAGGTTTCAACACCTTAGTACTTAAATCTTCAATCCACTTGGAATTTATCTTGGGTGTGATGTGAGGTAGGTCTCTAATTTCATTTTTTCAAAAATTACAATTAATTGTCTAATATTTTTAATGGAATAAACCATCACTTCCTTGCTAATTTGAAATGCCTCTCATCGTACCATAATTTCCAATATACATGAGTCTGTTTTTAGACTTGCCATTCAGTTCTATAGATTCTTTTATCTATTTTGG